GATAATGCCTTTCTGTGACTAATTATATATTTCTAAAGAAGAGGTGCCTTAAACCTCCTTTACACTACTTAAAGAATTATATGTACTATTGTGGGAAATAATTCTTCTGGCAAAGAAGGCAGAGAGAAAACGTGACAACACACACACAAAACCTATCAAATGTTGACTTTGGGACTCAGTCACTCCAAACTTCAGGTGAACAGGAAATGAGCCTAAGATTTCTAGAGTTTCTGAACCTCAGTATTTTGCATGCTAAGGTGCTTCAGTCGTGTCCAATTCCTTGCAACCCTATGGACTGTGGCCTGCCAGGCTCCTGTCCATGGGGTTCTACAGTCAAGAATACTGGAGTAGGTTGCCATGCCCTCCTCCAAAGGATCTCACCGACCCAGGGATGGAAACCACATCTCTTAGGTCTCCTGCATTGGCAGGTGGGTTCTTTACCACTAATGCCACCTGGGAAGCCCCTCTCAGCATTTTAAGAAGGGAAAATAAAGAACATTTTAGTTATAACAGAGAGAATCAGTACATTTGAGACAAAAATGTTGGAAAAAGTTGGATATGTTCCAATTATCTATCTATTTCTACATAACAAACTCACCCCCAAATTAGTGGTTAGCCATTTTATTACAGATTACAATTTTGTAGGTCAGAAATTTGGGCCAGGTGTACTCAGTAATTAAAATTTGATTATTTCTTTCTCATTTACTAGTTGAAACACTTTTATAAGTAGCCACTTCCCTTCATCTATTATTTGATTACTTAGTAGAGCCCTTTATGGATAAAGGGCAAGATAAAAGAGTGATTCTTTCCCCATACTTTTCATGATAATTGTTTCCTTTCATTCCCTAAAGATAAACAGTTGTTTTAAATATCGAAAAAAACTCATATATTTAAACATATTTAATGGCTTTCAAATAACTGCAATTTTTAACTGTATTAAAGTTCAAATTGTACCATCTTTGACCCTTGGTAAGAGCCTCTTCAAGTTGACTCCTGAAACTTTTTGACATGATGTTAGTGGTCTTTGAAAATTTCTTTGCTTTTCGCTTTATGAAATCATTCCAGGTTCATTCTGTACATTTCCTACCCTGACTGGAAAAAAGTCCTGGTTTTCTTTAGTGGTAAATGATATTTCAAGACCACAATCTTGGAGGTAGGGAAGAATATAAGCTTTCTTAGGCCTTTCCAGTGGACACAGATATTATATAGTATGTGTATCAAACCTCTTAAGTTCCTGCAAATATTTTCAATTCAAATAAAGGGCCATCTGTACTCTAGGATTTGCCCTCTAACCTCCTTTTAACATGTATATATCTCCTTTCTTTAAAGTCTAAATTTTACTAGAATATGTCTTGGTGTTGGCCATCTGGGTTGATATTCTCAGGTAAATGATATATTCTTCCATTACATAGTTTCAAATCATTATGATTTTTAGTAACTGGTTTTTTAATTATAGCTATAGTTACTTCTCCCACACCTTTGCTTTGATTTCCTTCAATTATAATTATGTTGGACCTTCTTTGCTTATCTTTAATATCTATTATTTTGTCTTGAAATATATTTAGCTTTATATTGTTAGTTTTCAAGATTTAACATTCTTTTCCTCCTCTATTTCTCTTAAGGCATTATCCATTATGTTTGTGTATCTATGTTTTACATCCAGTTTAATCTAAGATTTTTTTTTTATATATCTCTTTCTTTTTTGAGGTGTGTCAACTCTTTTCTGAGATTTGTAAGCTCTGGTTTATGTTGGTCTTCCATAGCATGCATCATTTTGAAGAGTCTCAGCTTATTCTAAAACTTATTTGTTTATCTATCTGCTCTGAAATTTTGTCTAGTTATTACTACCATTCATTCACTCAACAAATATTTACTGTTTATGTACTTTGTGCAGACAGTCGTTGTAATCTGAAGTTGACCCAACTAGACAATCAAGCTTACTGTTTTATTCAAGTAAAATTTTGTATTGGTAAAGAAACAAAAAGTTGACTAGTATGCCATATTTATAATTATTAAGATCTAACTGTTTAGTCTCAACAGAATACTTTTACACCATGAATTGGTCATTCTTGAAACCTTCATTTCTTTACTCCTGTAAGCTGGATTTATGTCTTTGGGAACATTTTAAAGATGTATTTCCAAGATATAAAATTAATTTTTTTCTTGCACAAATGAATGATATTGGGTTGGCCAAAAAGTTTGTTTGGGTTTTTCTGTAATCAATTAATATCTTAAGTTTTTGGCCAACCACACACACACACACACACACACACACAAGATCTAGAAAACTGCTGAGTCCCAATCCTTTCCTCCACATCTCTGTAGATACTGCAGAATTACCTTCAGGCATTTAGTTTAATGAACAAGTTTTTTACTAATTTTTTTTGTCCCTTTATAGGCTCTATAAAGTGAGTTTTTTTGGTGTGAAAAAAAAAAAAGTCTTGCAAGACTTTTTTTTGTAAATTCTTGAAGTTAAAAAAACTTTCTTAGGATACTTTTAGTGGATAGTCTCAACATTATAAACCAACTACACTTCAATTATTTTATAAAAGAACTTAAAAGTAGAAAACAATAAAAAAATAATAATAGTCATTACCATAGTCAGTGAGAATGAGCCAAAAGTTTTAGCAAAAGTTACAAATCTAATGAATATTTTATTCCTTAAAATAAACATATATGTTTGTTCAAATCATCAAGTGAGTTCCTGGAATACGGTGGAATGCTTTTCAGTACTTGGTTCTCAAAATGGTCTGCTCACATGGTTCCAAAATGGCTAACAGTGACTTTTCCCCAGGTCTTCTCTGTTGAGGGTGAACTGTGTTTCTAGTATCTATATCTTTAGACCCAATGTGTAGCCAAAAAGTCCCTAGGTCAAAGGGGTGATAAAGTGGTAGGGTGAAAGTAAGTTTGCCAAATACAATACAGGACACCTTGTTAAATTTAAATTTCAGACGAACAACACATAACTGTTTAGTATGGACAAGTTCCAAATATTGCATAGGACATAATTATGCTAAAAAATACTCATTGCTTATTTAAAACTCAAACTTAACAGAGCATACTTTTTGAAAAACTATGCCAACTCCTAGGTAGTGTCAGAGTTGGACATTTGAGGTGGGTGTCCATATGCATGAACACAAGGCCCCTAATGGTAGCAAAGATGTCAATAATATCATCAACCACAATTAAAAGATGAGGAAACTGAGACTAAGAGATGTTATTTACAATATGACCAAAGTCATCAAGCTAATCAAATCCATTTTCAACGCTAGATCTTTCTGAATGTAAAGCGAAGATTCATTTTTTTCTATTATACATACAGCACAGTGAATACAGTTAATAATACTGTATTGCATATTTGAAAGTTGCTAAGAGGAGATCTTAAAGCAAATATTTTTCATTAACAAAAAGAATTTACTATTTATAAGTTAATGCATAAATCTAGGGCATTTCATGGGATATCAAGGATAGGTACAATGGAAATCCCAATTGTTCAGTCATTGATCCTGAATCTTATGGACCCAGAAAATTAATTACGTAAGTGTGCTCATATTGGCAAAATTGTGGGTTTACCTTACACAATTCAAAACACTGATTTAAAAAGTGTTCATTTGTTTACAACGACCAATGTATTTGGCAGAAGAATGATTTATAGAAATTCTTCAAGGTAAATGCCAACCAGGGGATCAAATTACGATTCAAAAACTGTTTAATGTTAGAGCAAAGAGAGGAAATTTTCTAAAGGTAATACTTCTATCACGATACGTGAATTGTCATATTTCACTCTGGGAATAAGCCCACCAACAGTGCAGAGGCAGTTAATACGTTTTTAAGTTCAACATACCTCGATTTTCCCTCTTCACTACTTAACATCTGCAGTCCTCAGTTTCCTTGTTTTATAAAAACAGGCTTCTTGAAAAGGTTGCGATTATACGTAATGCCTTTAGAACAACGGTGTTATATTTTTAACACATTATATAAATGTATAGATTATAATATGTCAGATATTATGTTAAATATGCTTATTAGGCTATTTATTATCATTGTGTTACTTATTATTGTTCTACCTAACAACTTTCTGGCTAACCTGGAGAAACAGGCCACAAGCGCGCTTCCAGGGCAAAAAGGCGGATACGGGTTACCATGACAACGGCGCGCGCCTAGACATTTTTCCCCTCGCACGTCGCTGGGGAAGAGAAAAGCCTAGGTTGCGTGTTGCGTCATCACTACGCGCTCATTGGGCTTCTCCGTGCTCTTTTAGAAGGTCCCGGCCCGGCTACCGTCGCTGCACGCCAAGAATTATTTTTGCTTTTCAGTCCTTGTTAAGCCCACCGAAGTTGCAAGACTGTAAGTACTAGGGGAAGAGTGATAGAGAGCAAGCGATCGTTGAAAGAGATGCCGCAGCAGTCTGCACTTCGAACCTTCCCTGTGTTTTCTTGATCCTATCAGCTTCCTCTCAGCTGGGCTCGCGCCGCGTCAACTTCCGGGCGGGTGCCCGCCACCACGGCCTCCGCCGCTCCTCAGCTTTGGCCCCTTTGTGTCCCTGCGGTGTCGAGGCACGGGCCCTGGCACGTCCTTTCTCGAGGCAGGGAGCATCTTAGTCCAGGGAGCCTCTCACTGTGGGCGGGCGCGCGGCCCGCAGGGGAGTTAGCGTGGGGAACGTGCCCGCGCGTGCTGGGGTAAGAGGAGGTTGTGCGAGGGTCAGCGTGTGGTTCTAGGAAGGAAGGGCGGGGGTGGGGGGGAGAGGGAGTGAAAAAAGCAGTGGAAAATTTTAAAAGGATACCCCTGTCCACCTGATTGTTATGGCCTAACAATGAAGCGCAGCCATAATAGTCATGCCGAGCCACTGGCATGTTTGCGGGCACTTAATTGCCTTGGGAATGAACTGCTGTGGCTTTGTATTCTATGTTGTTTTCATGGCCTTTTTTCTCTTTTTATTTTCTCCCTGCAGATAGTTCATTTAAAGCTCCAAACCCCACGAAGTGGTAGTTTATATCAATATGAATCTTTTCAACCTGGACCGTTTTCGCTTTGAGAAAAGAAGTAAGATTGAGGAAGCGCCCGAAGCAACCCCTCAACCCTCCCAGCCTGGCCCTTCTTCACCAATTTCTCTTAGTGCTGAAGAGGAGAATGCTGAAGGGGAAGTTAGCAGGGCAGGCACCCCTGATTCAGATGTAACTGAAAAAACAGGTGAGTTACAATGTTGCAAATTGATACAGCATCAAGAGAGTTTCCTGTTTTGTTTTGTTTTTGTTTTTTTTAAGAAAAGCAGAAGAGATTCTGATTTTTGTTCTTGATGTCATACGTACTGATGCATTGTCCTTCACCATGCCCTTTTACATACAGCTTTGGGACTGCCATAGGCACCATGTACCTCCAACTGATTATCCATCCATAGTTATTTCACTTTTGCGTTAAGTTCTTAAATACGGCCCAGTGATGGCAGCTAAAATCAGAATTTAGGTCAGAATGGCAGCTATGGGAAAAAGAACTAGGTGATTCAGTCCTATGATAGATTTCGAGGCTGTTTTTGCCAAACGTTTAAATTCATTCCAGTATTTCTCCAAAAAAAAATTTGATAACCTGCTGTGAGCTAAGACTTTATTCAAGGTGCCTGAAGAAAACATTTATGAACAAATGAAGAGCAGGTCACATTCAGATTTTGCCAACCACCTGACTTCCAAAGTGCATATGAATAGTTTTTTTCCTCTGAGTTTTTTTTCTTTTTTTTAATGTGCACCATTTTTTTTAAGTCTATATTGAATTTGTTACAATATTGCTTCTATGTTTGGTTTTTTGACCTCAAGGGACCTGGGATCTTAGCTCCCTGACCAGGGATCTGAATCCACACCTCTGCATTGGCGTTTGAAATCTTAACTATTGAACAGGGGAAGTCCCAATAATTGGTGTTCTTCATGGTGGTTCTTCATTTTTTTAACCTCTTCAGCAAATTGTTACAAACAGTAGGGTTTGAGAAGGAGCCAAAAATTAGCATTCCCATCTTAATCTGTGTTCTTCTGATAGTTAACTATTAGTATATATTTGAACTGCTGCTGTGTTTTAGTCATAATGGTGAGTGCTTCACATTCTCTTATTTAAAACAGGCCTACAAGATACCCACATTTTGCAGAAATGAGGCCTGGTGGGTAAAGTTAGGAAGTTGGTAGAACCAGAGCTCAAATCCAAGTCATCTCAATACCTGAACGTAAACTTTGAATCATTTATGTCACTCAATTTCTTATGAAGGATGAAAGGAATATTATAAGTTACACTTTAATGTTTATTTCAGTAATACCCTTTTTAGTGTAAAGCTCAGTATTTCATAAGCAGCTTTTAAATTACAAAATTGGTAATATATGTCTTTACCCTTGACATCCCCATTTTGTTTGCTGTTCTACTTAAATATAACATTGAAGACAGTCCCTACAAGTTCTCATTAGAATGACTATTTAAATACTTAGATGTAATTGGAACTTGATGGAACAATTTGGTAGATTTAACTAACTGGTAATTAGGAGTCAACTTTTGAAAGGCTTTGTTTATCTGAAGGATTTTGAACTTACCTAAATTCAGACTACTGAAAGATTTAAGCACAAGTGACATCCCTGTGTGCATTCTTTAAGCAGATAATTTGGTTTGCATAACATGCTGTCATTAATGTCTAAACATCCAGGTACTTTGATATTTTAACAGTAAATATTTTAATCTGTTTCTTCTGTAGTTAGGGAAGGAAAGGCCAGGGTGTAGTGGGATTTTGAGCCCTTGGAAGCCTCTGCTTCTTCATTTTAGTTAAATGGGATATTGAACAAGTCACTCAGATTATCTGAGATCCACAGTTTTTTCATCTCTAAAATAAAAACACTTTGTAAAGTGGAATTTAATGAAATGTTTCAGTTATTTATCAATATTAGTAATGTAAAATTTTTAGTTGCCTTTTCTAATCAGAAGGTGTTTATTCTGCTTTCTTTTTTTTACTGAAGGAGACTTCACTTCTTTTCTCTTTATTTGGACTTTCTATATGTAAATTCCTTTTAAAACTGAGATTGCCTTTAGAAATTGTGGGGTAAGTCTTAATGACAGTTGGGAATTACAAAAATCAAGTTTGTTCCAGGAATGGTGAGGGTTCATCCTACTCAGAAAAGAGAGCTTTGCTTACAGAAAAGATTATTGTAATTGATCCTGTAGATTTTTGAGAATCTTGAAAAGTAAGGCAAAGCTTAGACTTAATATTATAGGTACTCCAGAGGTACTTGTTTAGTCGCTAAGTTGTGTCTGAATATTTGCAGCTCCAGGGGCTGTAGCCCACCAGGCTCCTCTGTGAGATTTCCCAGGCAAGAGTGCTAGAGTGGGTTGTCATTTCTTTCTGTAGGAGATCTTCCTGACCCAGGGATTGAACCCAAGTCTCCTCCATTGGCTTGCAAATTCTCTACCACTGAGTCACCAGGGAAGCCCTAGGGTAAAATAATGAAAGAAGTTTGTTTTGTTAAAAAAAAAAAAAAAATCAGTCTGACAGTCATGAATACTATGTATTGCTAGAGTGTAGTGTTGAAAGGGAGAGAAATCATTTGGAAAGCTCTTATAATCCAAACAATGATGGCAGTACAAACAGAAGAACAAGACTTAAGACATTTCAGAGTAAGAAAGTGCAAGATTTTACATCTGGGTCCTTGTGTAGGAATGAGACAAAATGAATGTTTAGAATTTTAGTTTGTTTAATTGAGGGGGATAAAGGTAGTTCTATACATTAGAATAGGTATGAAGTATGCACTGTAAGACCTTGGGCATGCCTTTAAAAATTCAAATGAGAATCAAAGGTCCTGCCCTGAGTTTGAAAGTGAAAATTGCTCAGTCATGTCAAACTCTGTGACCCCGTGGACTATACAGTCCCCAAAATTCTCCAGGCCAAAATACCGGAGTAGGTAGCCTTTCCCTTCTCCAGGGGATCATCTCAACCCAGGGATTGAACCCACGTCTCCCATGTTGCAGGCAGATTCTTTACCAGCTGAGCCACAAGGAGAGCCTGCCAGTTTAGCAGTAGACCAAAAGCAGCTTAACTTAGCATGAGGGGAAAGGGGTGCTGAATTAAACATCAGGCCTTGGGCCCATGGCATCCCAGGTGGCGGTAGTGGTAAACCATCCTGCCTGCCAGTGCAGGAGACATAAGAGACCCTGGTTTGAGCCCTGAGTTGGGAAGATCTCCTGGAAAAGGGAATGGAAACCCACTCCAGTGTTCTTGCCTAGAGAATCCCATGGACAGAGGAGCCTGGTGGGCTGCAGTCCATGGGGTCCTAAAGAATCAGACACAATTGAGCATGTGTACACCCGGCTGGTGGAGAGGTTGGCACAGTAAAATTGGATGCAAGATCAGACTGAATATGGACGTTGGGAAATCTGCGGACGTATCGTCAGTGGGATATGAGTATTGACCTTTCTTTATCATCAACCGGTAATTTACTCTTATTATGTAGAATGATGCTACATTTGTTTATTTACATCAGTTTTAGGGTCTGAGTCCACTTACAGGATAGAAATTGTATGAGGTTAAAATTACCTGTTACCACTCTTTCTCGGATAATCCAATTATTTTACCTAAGAGTTAAGGTTTTATTTCCTACCACTCTCCTTCAGTTACTGTGCCACAGGGACACTGTTCCTTGAATATGCCAAACCCCATTCAATCTTCCCTTCTTCCTATTTGCTCTTCCATCTGCCTCCAAGATACTTTCTGTTCTTATCTGCATGTGACTCTGCTGTTGCATTAGGACTTAGTGAAATGTTACCTTTTTTAGGAACGTCTTTCCTTGAGCACTCTCTAAAGTAGCAACCCTCACCCCCTTTACTGTCTTTTCTGTATAGTATCCATCACTAACTTTGCATTATGTATTTATGTTCCACTTACTAGAATGTAAGATCTGTGAGAGCAAAGACCTGGTTTACCTATCTGTCCATCCCCATTGCCTAGAACAGTGATTGGTGTATAGTAGGCCTTCAAAGTATGTGTTGAAAAAAGGAGTTTTGAATGATACTTTGTACATATTTTTAAAAAGTCCCTCTTCCTCTTTATGATCTTGAAACAGTGCCATAGCCATCAGTCATCTTTAGCCTTGGATACTTGAAACTACTTTTGATAGAGGACAGGCTCCCTTAATCCAGCCTTTGGATATGAGGGCATACACTTAACCTGTGGGTCGCCTCCCCCCAACTCATTTTATTTTACTCTCATTAATGCCTGACGTTATCAATTGTTACTACTTACATTCTCTTTTTTACTTTACTTTTCTGGGTGCATAACAGGTTTGGAGAGAATAAAGCAGTGACAAATACGTGTGAGAGGAGAGAATCTACTATGTTTTATGCATAAAGAATAAAACGTTGAGCTCAGCATGATCCTCAAGGAGCACCAAGAGGAAAGAACATAAAATTGTGTATGGTTAAAATAGCACAATGTGGTAACTTGTAATAAGGAAAGATATTAAGCAGTGTAGGACCATAATCTAATTCACAGTGATTAAATTATTCCTTCTTTCTGCAGAGAACCAGGAAAAGTCATAGAGAAATGACTGAGTGAACACTAAGCAATGACTCGTTGCTTATTCAGTGAACAAGGGATGACAGCATGTTGCCTTGGAATGTGGTGTGAGAGTGGAATAGGTGAAGTTAGTATGGAAGAGGAGGTGAGGGGCAGTATGCATGAAGCAGAAAAGATTTAGAAACAAAAACTGGTGGCTTTTGAGGGGCCTATTTATATGCTCTCTCAGGGAGAATGGACTTTATTTGGTATACATTATAGAACATTTCAGTATGGGAGAAACAGTAATGAAACTGTTGCAATAATTAAAGCCTAAATATAGGGAAATGACAGAGGAGGCAGCTTAGAGAAGTTTTATATGATGTGTATATGATAATATTTGATGATCAGTTAAATGTGGAGGATTTAAAGGTAATGCAGATGTTCCTTGCTTGGACAGCTGAGTGAGTAGCACTATCAACTGAATTAGGCAGCAGGATTAAGAGGTAGATACCAAAACGTGTTGAATTTGAGCTACCGCTTATGTTTTAGTAGCAAGGTCTAGTAGAGAGTTAAACATTGGAGTTTAGGGCTCAGAGAATGGTTGGAATATGAGAAATCAACTTTGAAGTCTTCCTTGTGGTAGTTACCCGTCCCCCCCCCCCAAAATGTCCTAAACAAA